ATTAGTTACATTCTTTCTATTAAGGATGGGAAACTGAGAAGCAAACCTCTCTTTAAAAGTTGTCACTGGCAGGAAATTTTTGGCCTACCTGCTCTGTTGGGGGAAGGGAGGCTAGCCCTTCCTCTATTAGAAACTGCTTTGGGAAGCCAGCCTTAATTAAAGGGCATAGCAATCTTTTACCTGGGTTTAGATTTTTATAATTAATATATTTTAATAATTCTTGAGATTTAAATCTAATTTTTTATTTTAAGGCATATTCTTTAGCAAATTTTTGTAACAGAGACAATTTTACTGAATTTCCTTTTTGGCCTTGAAATTAACGTTTTAATATTTTTCATTAGTATTTAAAAACTGTTCTTTATTATGGAAATGCCAATCCTGCTGCTAGAATTTAGCCAGTATCTTTTTTCCTTTGGGTTAAATTTTGCTATTTTTGTTAGGAAATAATCAGTCTTGGGTTTTATTTTGTACATTTGTAAAGAGATTTCAGCTTAGAATTTTATCTAAATGTCCCAAATTGGACAATGTGCGCCTTAGTTCCAAGCTAGTTTTCTCTTTACACGTGTATAGAAATCCCAGACGTATTTTTAAATTTCAGATCCGGTGGCATTTGCTGTAGTTGTATCAGAAATGCAAGGAAATCATCATTTCTTCTCTATGTGGGAGGTTTTAAATCTAATGATATTTTGTTTATTTCAGTAGGCAAGGGCAGCACCCAGGGCAGATAGAATGTCTCATCTCTATGGATCCAAGGTCCAGCCCGGTACTTCCGGGGGTTGCTCGGAATAGCTCTTGTATCTATTTTGCTCTCTGGGGCAGGCTGGGTGCTGTGCAGCCTGCTGGCCTTGAGATGGCATAGGGACAGGAGGGTAAATAGACAATGCCCCTGTTATTTGCCATGGCTGGGCTGGCCCCTTTTGGTAGTTTCCCGACTGGTGTTGAGACAAAGAATTTCCCTGGACATCCGTCTTAGATTTACACTCATTTGCCCAATGTTTTCCTTTTTTACATTTAGGGCATAGTCCAGGTTGTTTGGGACCTCTGCCATTTCCTTTATTAACCCCTTTATTAGGACACTGTTTTGCTATGTGTCCTGTTCCTCCACAAGTGTAACACTTGTATGCTGGACTTTTCCCTGTGCTAAATTGTTGTTGAAGAATTCCTTCAATGGTGGTTCCCTTTAATGCGGCTGCAATGGCAACTCCTTGTATATATGAGGGACCAATATCTGCGCAAATGCGGATATAATCTGAGAGAGTCCCCTGTCTTTGATAGGGCCGTAGTGCAGCTTGGCAGGCAGTGTTGGCGTTTTCATATGCCAACTGTTTAATTATTAACATGCCAGCCTCTCCATCCACCACTACTCGGCCAACAGCCTGTAATAGTCGAGAGACAAAATCCTGATACTTTTCATCTGGCCCTTGAATAATTTTTGAGAGCTCCTCTGCTTTCTGACCAGAGGTGGGTAACTTTTTCCAGGCTTTAATCCCAGCTCCATTAATCTGTCCATAAGCTTCCTGGGGGTATTGAATTTGATTGTGGGTATCAGCATAGACTCCTTCATCTACCAGCATTTCATAAGAAATATTAATCTGGGCAGCTCGATTACGAGCAGCTTGTTCCTTAGCCTTTTCATCATATTCTGATTTCCACAAGAGATAGTCCCCTCCTGATAAACAAGCCTTGGCAATAGCTCTCCAATCATTAGGTGGGAGAGCCTCTGAGGCTATAGTTTCCAAGATGGTTAAAGTATAAGGGGAAGTGGGCCCATACCGAGCACAAGTTGTTTTTAACTCTTTTAAGGTTTTAAAAGGAAGCGGGTCATAAGCACGCTCACGCTGTCCCGTGTGAGGGTTCACCTGTTCCATAACAGGGAAGGCGTGAATACCCAATTCCTCACCACACTTTCGTGCCTCCTGCAAAGCCATCTGGAGAGGGGAAAGTGGAACTGGTGCTGCACAAGGCAGCGGAGAGCGGCGGGAACGGCCCCCGCGGCTTCTCTTTTTCTTGCCAAGAAGCTTTAATTTTCTAAAAAGCATTCCAACACATCCTCTATATCACTGCCCTCTTCAGTTCCAGCAGAAAAATATTCTTTCTCCTCTTTTGCCTGAACAATACCTGTATTATCATTATGACAAAGAGCAGCAGCTTTCTCAAAATCCTCCTCATC